ACATCAAACTCCAGCTCGAGTTGAGCCAAGCGGACTGCTGCCCGTCTTTTGTCGACGCTTCAGTGAGTTTTCTGCTTTCTCCTTTTGAAGAGCTGCGAATGCTCTACGGAATTTGGCGCGTGCTCCACTAACCCCGTCCTTGCGCACCTCGCGCATGACAAACTTCTCCACGACAGCGTCACAAAACTTCTTGATAAAAGCTTCTGTGTTATTTGGTTCAGTTCGGGTTGGATTAGAGAAGGAGTGGGCAGTGCTGTTCGGGTGGTAGCGCATATGGACGCGGTAGGAGCCGAGCATCCCCTCGTTGCAATCGTTTGTTGTGGGAATCCATAGAATTGCGCGCTGTTCTGGCGTTAGGGAATTGAAGGTACCGCCAACATGGAACTCCGGAGTGAACTGTATCCAGCCCTTGGCACATCCCGCGAACAAGTTGGAAGTGATTAACAGGAGATTCAGAAGCTCCGGGCGCAACTGGCGAATACAACGGATAAGGAGTTGGTCCCGGAATGGGCGGCCATCTATGGTGAGCACATCAAGTGGGGTGTTATGATCGAAAAGGATATGGGGATTGGCGGCGACATGGGAGCAGAAGAGAGGGAGTCTTCGGTGGAGATCGGTGAGAGAGACGAGGTTAATTGGCTTCTCTTTTGTACCGCGCACCATTGCCATGTATGGCCAGGACACCGATACGTAAAGTGCTAGAGCAAAGAGTTCAGTCACTGTTGCGGAACAATTAAGTCCCTTGAGAATATTCTGCTCCACATGGTTCGCCTGCCCGGACTTCGTTTTTCCATCGATGATCTCTGTGACGAGTTCTTGGATGAGGCCAGGGAAGCAGATAACTTCGGCGGCGGCATACGTATGGCAGCCATACCGGGTATTTGAGACGTCGGGAAACTTGCCGGGAGCCTCCAAATTGAAGAGTTCGAGGTTTTGCTGTCACATGAAGCTGTTACATTTATCTTGGTATCCTCGCTCACCGTCCTTGTGGCGAAGCAAAGAACCAAGCAAATCGCCCCTAAATTAGGAAAAGAGCTTTTTTCCTGATGTGAGCGAGCGGTAAACTCGAGGATGCGAATGGTCGCGGCCTCGGAGATAGCGCAGGCCTGCATAGGGTGTCGATGGAGGTGCGCTGGGAGCGCATACGCGAGAGTGACGTTCGAGAGCTCGACTGTGTGATGCACGGAGGCTCCGATGGAAGAGCTAGCTCAAATTATATAAGTCAGATATACTTTGGTGTCTTTTTCTGCTTTCTGGTGGCTTGGCCAGAAATGGATCTTTATGTTGTGAGGTCATAAATAATCTTGTATTACATAACGTCATTTGCGAATGCCGTTTGGGATCACTGCTTCGACGACAACCTGTCCTTTTTCGACGGCCTCGGGCATTCCTATTTCTATCGAGGCCCTGAGACGATCTACCATCCTGCGAGTAGGAGCATGAACGCTCCAAAGGATGTGAGGGCCCCTGTGTCCACCACCAAAGCAAGCCTTCAACCTCTCCATGGCATCTCTTGTGAGTAGTCCTGTATATGGGGGACAAGGCTGAATGAGGACCACCACTATGCGTTGCGCTCTGGACTTGAGGAGCATTTCCAACGTTCCAAGAAGCCAGGGTGTATCGCGGTCCACAAAGCGAACGGTTAGGTAGATCATGTCTGCGAAAAGCGGGAACGAGGGGGGCATGAAGTCCCTAAGACTGAAATCTGTCCGACATAATGCTGAGTTGCCAAGCCATAGAATTGTGTGTACGAACTCACCTTGGCAGTCGACGTAGAGATCTTGTAGAGTTTGATCCATAGCAACAAACATAGTATTTGCGTCCACGCGCAATTTGTGAACCTGTAGTTTAAGCTTATTCCGCTCAGCAAGGCGGTCAGCAATCGTTCTGGAGTAAAGACTAAGCTCCGACAACTGCGGTTGTCTAATAGTGTTGATGACGGCATTCACCACTTCTTGGCAAGAATTGTCTGCAGTTCCCGATACAAGCAAGCTAGTAATATTGGTCATTTTGTCGAACAACGAAGAAAGAAAAGAGTCCATTTCTGACGGAACCGCATATCGTGGAAGAAAAAAATTCAACCTCCTAATGTATGCCGCTAGATGCGGGGACTCCCGCAGAATGTCTTGCACATGGCAATAGGGACTTTTCTTCGCCCCAACGGAGACCGTACGCAGCAGGATACGTTGGGTAGGTTCGCGGAAAATAGATGATACCAAAGCGCAGGCTTTTACAGATTTGTGATCTTCAAGCTGGCTGACTATGACACAGATGAGGTCATATGGCATCATGTAAACGGGGACCTCCATCAGCATGCGCTCATCCGACTTTTTCTCTGTTGCATCCCTCCTGTAAGGTATTTCCATTCGTTCAGGCGCCGTGGCTTGGGGTGTCTTTGGGATGCTGTCCTCTGAAACACAGGGAAGCAAAGCGTTCAAAAGTATCTGTAACTCATCATCCGACTTCCGGTATGTCTCCGCGGCTAGCTCAGTGCATGCGGCTGAAGTTACGGGTGCACCGTCTGCACGAACTGCCTCCGACATCAGTTTACCGCTGCAAAGATGTCAAGTTTGAAAGACGCGCCTAAGATAAGGCGGGACCAAGTTATATCGAAAAGCGGGCCTTTCAGGTGGCATTCGGAGCGGATCGTTGCGTGGCTGGTGACCACGATGGCTGCCGCATTAAAAGCACTCTGATTCTGATGACCAGACGGACAAACAAGAATGAGCATCTGAGGTTATGGGCTGGGTTTATGAACCTTTCGTCTTTCGGGGCCCTGGTACTTTATGATCTGATTGTTGGAGGTGACCCAGTCTTTTAACATCTTTGAGGGGCATATAATCCTTCAGTCGCTTGATGTCAGTGTGAGTTCGTTCTGCTGTCGAAAGCAAACGTACAGGCTTTTATGGTTGGTCCCCCCACCACTGCGTCTTGACAGTGAGATTGAATGAGTCGAAATCCATTTTTTTATCTCTCTACGCACCCAATCTTCTTCGTGCAGATCCTATCAGGATTACCGTGAAAAGTTTTATTTGCCATTGAAATTCAGGGAGGCCGGCTCATCGTTGCTCAAACCAGGTCCTCATTATAAACACAAAATCGGCAAGCCGGAGGCATTGTCCTTTTTAAGCAAAAAAGTAACATCCTATTCTACCCCGCTCTCGTATATATGTACATACTTGGCAAACTCGCAATTTTGATGCTGGGTATCCCAGCAGCACTGCATGCAATTTATTGCCGACATTGGCAACTTTCGGAATTTCATGCTGCAATATGAACACCATTCATTGCTGAAACTCGGTGGGAGAATTCGTAAAGCCCTGAGGCAGGCAGGTTACGAGTTCTAAAAAGTATTTTTAGACTCGTTCTTTAACCAGAGTTTTACCGCCAACCTGAATGTTTTTTGCGCGATGACGTAGATCGCATGTGGGTAAACCGTTTCCTTTCAAGGTAATTTTCCTGGGAACCCACGTCCCCGTAAGTCAATTTTGGCTCCTTTGGGTTGCTTACGACTCCGGTATTGCCTCAGCCTTTTTCCTTTTATATTCTCTCTTTTTCTCTTGGCATTCGGCTTGTGTTAAGTACCCGATTCCCGACTTCGCCATTAGAATGTTCCGCTCAAACAGCTCGGTTCACTGGTTGAGGCAGCAGCCTTCCGCCCGATCTCTGGGCTTAAGGCATGGTTTGGCAGTGGTTCTGCCTCAGTGCGCCGTTCGACCGTCGTATCAGTCATAATTCTCCAGGCTCCTCAACGATACAAATCTGTCCGATCAACGGTCCATCAGTGAATCAAATGATGGAAGTGGTCCCGGATCTTGTCGCAATTGTTAAAAATGGGACTCCTAGAGGACTCGAATGACTCGGACAGACCCGCAGATGAGGGGGAACGCTAAGATTGCAGACCCCGTACATGATGTTTGTACGTATTAGATATCAGTAGCGAAGTCATCGAGCAGTACGAAAGCGGACGATTTCCAACACTCCCACTCTGCAAGATAAGCAAGCTCCCACTGAAACAAAAACAAAAGCAGGAGAGAAATAAAAAATGCTCCCACTCAATCAAAGAAAAGCTTCATAAACAACTCCAACGTCAACTTGATATTCTTCCAAATCCGAGTCGTCGTGGCATCCGCACTCCTGGTTGTCGCAATACCTAGTCGGAATTGCAGTCGTGAATGTCCGAACGCCAATTGGAACGAATGTGGGAAGGAGAGGGACAACGGCGACGAGGCAAGAAAGATGAATGAGCCACATACGTTTCGTGGACCGCATGTGAATGTTCGTTAGCGCCAGGATGGTCGAGAACCCAAGCCTTGATCTCCTTCGGCATATCTGCAACACATCGAGCAGCAATGTGGTTCCGATGACCACAGCGGTGACAATGATCCTCGTTAGTGGGATCGCACCAACGAAAACCTTTTTCGTCATCCTTCCCAAAAACTTGCCCATCACCGCTAGAGGTGTGAGCGGCGCGATCGCGATCGCGATGTCCGGGATTCCCGTGACCACTCCCACTCGACGCGAACACCTTTCTACCACCACCACCACCGCTACGGGCTGCAAGGGCTGTCTCCTCGGATTCCGCCTTGATTTGGTTGGCAGTCGGGGTGATATAGGTCGCACCGCAAAGGACGGCTTTGACAGAGTCGAGGTTGCTTTCACCAGCGGGCTGCGTCCCCGGTTTTCCCGCTGGTTCTCTTGCCTGCTGTACCCTTTCCTCGGAGCCTGGACAACTTTGTGCGTACCCACTTTCTCTAGCCTCTCGCCGTCCCTTAAAAGTACCATCAGCCAATGCCGCCTATGGTATTCCGGCTTCGCCGACGTGTACCTGTGGGCAATTTTATCCTCATCCAAGCATAGTACTGATTCACTATTCACAGCTGCAATTCTAGCTGAGGTGCATATGTACTTGGGGTGTAGGGCCGCTGCGTAGCACGGCAAAAACTCGAACTTTTTTGTCAATCCCGTCATTTAGTCAATCAATATTAAAAAAGAGGCATAGCCTTGTAGTGTAACGGCAACACAGTCGCTTGTATTAATTCAAAATGGTGAACAGCGAGAGACCCCCGTTCGACTCGGGGCGTGGCCATCACCCATAGGAGGTGAGAATTTTTATTTCCCTTCGTCTATATTGTACTGCACTGTAATAGTGACTACTGACACTGTGAAACTACGTAATTGGCTGAACCTTTAGGTTTAGCTGCCCTGGAGAAGATCGATTTTGTTCCATTTTCTGCTACAAGTACAAACAACATTTTGTCAGCAACAATTGGTCATCACAAAATAAATCCCTAGAAAATTGGTGAAGACCGAGGAAAAATCAAAATGCAAGGATATATTTCAACAACCTTGAACAGCTTGAATTCTCCTGTACAATCTCATTCAACCCCCTGGAACCAAAGATATTCTCCGTGTTCAATTTTAGTGGACTAGTCATTTCTGCTTTGTGTTCGGGACAGTATCCGGTGGTTAGTCATTCAAGCTTACCGCTCATAACATCGTGCAATCCTTGCTTCGGCTTTGTCCTAGAGACCACTTAAGCGACATGTGCTTGTACACAAGTTTAGTCACATCCCTTTTTATTTTTGTTTTTTGCCGGTACTAATGTGTGCACCAAGCCTCCTGGGGTAAAGATTGAACTTGTGGTTGAAATGATAGCTCACATGTTGTATTGCTTCCTCTTGCATGTCATCTGGCCACATTCTGTGATGTGCTACCACTGTGGTTTTGATTGATTCTGAGCTCCTAGAGGACAACTTGGTGCACATTTCTCACTCAGATCGACATGCCTTATGAAATTCTAACTTTCACTAGGTCCAGCCCAATGGCCCTGAGCTCTAGAGAACAGATTGTTGCAATACGTTTGATAGTCATAGTGCACAGAGAATGCTCTACAGTGGCTTGTCAGGCTTGAATTTGCACAACTTACTGCTATTTTTCAATCAATTCTGAACTGATTTGCTTGAACCAAACGTTTCTGGGAGCGTAAGTAGTGGCAATTATTGGTGATGCATCAGATGCTGTCCCAGATGCTCTGAGAGCCCGCAGGAAGACATTCACCCATGTAGATCGAAATCACACCTTGGTTCGGCAGGACATTCACTGTCTGGTTGAAACCCATGAGGGTGAGTTTTGACATACCTCAATTCCCCACCCTAGCCAGTAAATGGGATACCGTATAAGCGCCCTCTCTAAACCCTTTACAATGCACTCAAAAAATAAAACCAATCGGACAGGAATTAAGTGAGAAACAGGTGTTGAAAGTTGCTCTGTCTTGAAAAAATAGGGGTGGTGTTGTTACTTTTGCAAACAGCTGTAAGTGTACATAAAAGTGTTACCCCCTAAAGGTTCAGCACCCGCCTCGAAGAGGCCCAATCCAAGTCATTTTACAAAACTTTTAAAACAAGTGAGAGAGACGCGTACCTTAGGATACTCAAATATACCCCCATCCATCATCTCCAGAGCCGCAGAATTTTGTGCCATGTTAACTGTATACTTCACGCTTTGATCTAGAGTCCGAGATCTCGAAATTTCATCGTCTTTCACATACCTTCGGATTCATGGGAGTGGGCACCGCCCGGGTCGCTGATGGCACATTATGTAATAGCACAGCCACATCTGAATCGCGCCGAATCGATGCCTCTTCATCCTTGCACTCAGTTTACTGGTTCTGGGACTGGAAACACGCGGGAACTCATCAAAGATTGACCATTAAGCTGCTGTATGTTGAAATTATGCAATGAAATATGTTTAAGCCTCCATCTCCGCTTCCTCTTCTGCTGTCCAGTCCTCGACATTGACAACCGTCGCTTCGTTCCCTGAAGGCCCAGCTGGAACTACAGGTAGCTGGTATTGAGCTGGATTTACCTGGAACCTCTTGAAAGCTTCTTCCAGCCCCTTCTGCTTCTCAGTTTTGTTCGTGTAGTTACTATTCGGGCGGATATCCGGTACACCACGCAACCGCAAGAGCTCCAATTGCTGGTGGAGTTTTGGAATGGTGAGCTTCCAGGCAGAGCTGTAAATGTCAGCGACACAGGTGATGAACGGAATCTTCAAAAGTTCCCGAAGATCTTTGGCCGCCTTTTCTTTGGCTGCAGTCACACTTGCCTTCTTCATCCCCGCGAGGCGAAGGCGGAAATCGGCCAGATCTTTCTTCCTCTTCCTCTCGATTCCACTCCCATCTATCTCCCTTGCCTTGCGCATGATGTAGATGGCGTCGTCTCGTGTGAATACCGCGTCCATAAAGGCCTGTGTGTCGTTAACTCGGTACATCACCTCGGCATTATATTGATGCAGAGTGAGTGTCGGGTGTCCTCTCATCTTGACCCGGTACGCACCCAACGAGCCTTCATTTGCGTCGTTTGTTGTTGGCATCCAGGCAAGCTGTCGCTCCGTGGCAGACGATTCATCGATCAGTCCGCCAGGTGCAAACTCGGCTGAGAACCGAATCCAGGTTGCCAGCGCACCCCGAAAGAATGCCAGAGTAGCCGCTTGAAGATTGGGAAGGGCTGGTGAGAGTTTAATAACAGCGTCAATAGCCTCTGGGTCCTCCCATGGCTGCCCATCTATCGCTGCTGTCGCATATGACATCTCTGATGATCCAAACAGCAGGTCGGGATTGTCCAGGATGCGCTGGATGTGGTCCCGAACTTCGACATGGAGCGGGCCCAGGTCAAGAAGATTTGTTTGTGATGTACCTGGACCACGAACAACGCGCATGTAGGGGTGAGTGATGCACATCATGTATATGGTCATTGCGCAAAGCTCCCCCAATGTCGCAGGATCTTGCAGTGCTCGCCGAAGATTTACCTCGATGTTGGTGAGTGAAACTGTGGTCTTTGTGTACTCAATGACCTCCAAAAACTCCAGGTAATGATCGAGGAATTTAACGAGTTCAGCTGCGGCCAAATTTTGGCTGGACATTTCTCAAAAAAGTCGGTAGGGCCAACAAGCAGCAAAGCCCCCTACAGTTGAATGGCTCATAATGCATAAGGCCGGTGGACACCCAAATCCTATGCATTATGAACAATATGCATTGCTGGGTTTGTCACAGTAGTGTGACATGTGTGACATGTTCGACCTTTGTGTGCAGATTTTGAGTGTCACATTCAAAATCTGCACACAGACTGATATCACATATCTGTATGCAAGGCCGGCTAGCCACATAATATCCAAGTTTTCTAGCCTTGATGATTTTTTTCAGCTTGCGTAGACATTACCAAGGGGAGTCGTGCCTGTGTCCATGAGAGTGGTCCGGCTCGTGATGGGTATGGTAGCGCCGTTGACGGTGACTCCACCCAGATGGCCAATCCAAAAAGCATCGTTCGTAGCATTGAGGATGACGAGTGTGCTGCTGTCGAACTTGCTGTCGTCCAGACCGCTGAACATCATGTCAGGACGGGATCGACTAGAAGAGGGGAAGCGGATCCAAAAGTGACTTCGCCGTCATTGATGTGGTCAATGGCACGAGGGAGCCGGTACGAGGTAATCGCGGCGTTGATGAAACCGGTATTGGCCAGAGAGTCTATTACTATTGTAATCCCCCGCCACACAGAGCGTAGATGACTTGGTCGCAGAGTACCATGCAATACTGTAAAACCTTTGAATGCTACAATACTACCTGAGGAGAAGCCCTTTGGCTATGTGAATCACATAGGTGGGTTGTGAATGGCGTCAACTAAGTCCTGTATTATTTTCGCGAAATTAAGGCGAGTTTTGAGGCCGGCGCGCTAAATGGCGGCGGCACTGGCGGGGACTTTGATCGCTGTACGGCGCGCGCGCCATCTCTGATGGCAACAGCTATAGATAACGACTCTATCTAAGCTATCTACGAGATCGCGGTAAATAAATAGCTATTCACTACATAACTAACAGTAATTAAGCCGTGCTCAGGATTTCACCCAAAGGTCTTCTAATTAGAAGGGGAGAACCCATACATATCCACCTCTAATACTAGGGGTACTTTGGGCTGAGCACATGTAAGCGGGTGACCTGGCCTGATGTCGGCATGCCAAGCCTTGACAACGGCATCATGCCGGACATTCCAAATCAGGGCATATCAGATATTTTCAGATTTGCTGATGTCGGCTCTTAATATGGTCCAGGAAATCATCGACTCGGCGAAGTTCCCCGAGCTCCATGTTAGCCGAAATATCAGCAGCAGTTGCAGCATGCTCGGACGGCGTAGCAGGGAGGTTACGACTAAATACGTGGCCCACCCGGGGGCCAGTGTATCTAATTGAAGCACCGTAGTTACAAATATTAACCAAATGATGTACGAACGACGGCTCGGGGTACTCGCGCATGAGGTAAGATAGTGCCGATGCACAAAGGGGGCCAGCGACAGACGAGGTTGCTGGTCCCTCAACGGGGAAAACCATGGTGGTGTTCGGGCGAGGTGGGGGGATGGGAGGCGAAGACGACAAGGCAAGGGCCTCGACGTCGAGCATGGGAATGAGAGGGTCCGTAAAACGAGGAGCCAGGTGACAAGGTACCGGAGGCACAGAAGGGTGGGGAGCTGACACGGTAGGCTCGCCCAGCCTGGCCTATTTTCGGGTTGGGCATGCCTGGTTCGAGTGCGGCCCGAGGGAGGCGATGCAGACATGGTTGCGTGAGCATTTGTCGCCCATACGACAGGCCTCCGTTTGGTTAAAACGGAAGCAGGTCTCGTCCACCTTCGGACGCGAGGGCGGAGCTGCTGCGATCTGCGGAACCGGGGATGAAAGTCGGTCGCCCAGTGCGCGCTTTTTGCTCGTAGAGGCGGACACCAGGGGGTAGCGCACGAGGCACGTCGCCATGAGGGTGGCGTCAGGGATAGTCCAGCGAGTGGGGCGGAAGTTCTCCTGCAGCCGAACGCGGGTGAACTCGTAGTGATACTGGAGCACGGCTCCCCACTCGTACTGCGTCGAGAACTGCAGGAGGAGCGAGGTGTAGATGGAGAAAGCGGCGGAAACTCCGCCGCCTGTGGGGTCGCAGAGTGCGCGGATGCCAGTGTAGGTAGTCCAGGCCTCGATGAGGGGGACAACGGAGGGGAAGGCCTTCGAAAAGGCACGAGGGAGCCCCGACTCCAAGTTGTCGTCGGGGTAGGAC